CACACACACACACACACACACACACACACACACACACACACACACACAGACCTGGGTCCATGTAAAAGGTTCTCCAGTGAGAAGGGAAAGTCATGGGGAGAGTTGAAGGAGCCCTGTCCCCCATGGTCCCCAGTTTGAGCTTTGGCTAAAGATGACCTAGGCTCTCCTGGGCTTCTTTGGGGTGGGTGGGGTGGATCTCTGTCTTCACAGCAGGAACCTGAGAGTAACATATTCTTGGTGGTCACAGAGTTGACTGAGATAGCATGAGGAATGTTCTAGAAATGTACATTCTAGAAACTCAGATATGGAAACCTGGTTTGGTAAGGGTAGGGGCTGACCGGAAATGGGGAGACTCATGCGGGTGTGGTGACACATAGCTCTCAAGAACTGGCTGGCCAGTCAGCAAAGCCAAAAGAGCAAGCCTCGAGTTCAGTGAGAGATCTTGTCTCAAGGGAATATGGTGGAGAGCAAGGTGGGAAAGCATTGCATGTCTTCTGTGGCCTCCATACGTGATATACGGACACAGTGCAAACTCCTGCATGCACAGTCTACTCTCCTCAACACACACAATACACATGATAGAATTTTGTCTGAATGCAATTCTTTAATATTGCCTTAACAGTCAAGATGCTTTCTAAGCCGGTGAGGTGATGTCAGCAGGAACAGAGGGAAGTGCTTGCTTTAAGTGATAAGACAACACACAAGGCCACTTCAGGAGTGCTGCCCTTTGTGCAAGATGATCCTGGCCAACGCGTCCTCATTCAAGGGGAAACTATAGCAAGCAGCACAACCTCTGACTTATGGCGGGCGTTTAGTAAATGCCACACAGTGGCGTGACAATGTCTTTGCAACAGCTTAGGCGTGAGTACGCTCTTCTAGGTCCACCTATCCACAGCAGAGGCGCTCTGGCGCTAACGAGAAATTAGAATCCATTAATGCAAGCAAGTTGCCCCCGCAGAGGTTTGCACACAGCACACCTTGGAGAACCATGGCTAGATTGTCCTTGTCTACTCAGTACCAGAGCAGGGGTGGCTGTGGAAGGGTACCCTCTGGAGACAGTTACAAAACACGCTTGCTATATTAGATAGACATCAGACATCACTAGGCAAGGGCTTTGCATCAGCTCATTAGGCTGTGGTCTTATTGTTTTTAACAGATAAAGAACTGTTATAGAACTGGGAAACCCCCATCGAGTCCAGGATAACTGTGAGCATAGACCTCACCACCACCCCCCGCCGTGACTATTTTCTGATTGGTTCGGCAGATAAGCCCAGGGACTGCGTAGACCTGGGTGTTGCTGGGCACTGGAAGCCAGCTGAGGTAATCTGGGCAGTTCTGCACGCACAGTGGGAATCCTGCTGAGCCTTAAGATTTTTCAGAATTCTCTTCTGGCCATTGCTTAATCCACCCAGTACCGTAAATGAACTGTGATTCTTCTCTCCCTCGACTTTCTGAATTGCGATATGGAACTGGCCAGCCTTCTCTCCACTTAAAGGCAGTGGAAGGGTTTAGAAATGAAATGAAATATGTATGCTTGGCAGGTGCGAACCACACCAGAGAAAACGCTTCCTCGCGGCTTCACGGGGCCCTCAGGACCAAATAAAGAGCTTTGCAAGAAGAGGCACGCCTCGAGCTGTGGCTGTAGCAGGGAGGCGACATAATCACAGGTCAGGGTAGACAGTGCCTGGCACGTTTGCCACTCTTGTGATCTGGAGAGGCGTTCTGCCTTCACATACACCTGTTCCTCCTTTGTCATAAATAAGACAGGTGCCTGTCCCCAGGGGAGAGATGGTCACTGCTGGCAGGCTGGTGGCAGACACCCTGAACCCTGGAGCAACCTCCAGGTCCTTTTCCCAGGCAAAGCTCAAGGAGGGGAATTAGCAGTTTTTATGTGGGGTTTTACAGCAGAATAAAAGCAGCATGTTCTTTTGGCGACTGACGAAAAGAAAAACTCGTATTCAACCCCTGGAAAGAAAGCGAGACCCAAGAGGAAAGCTGCTTGATTTATTATGAAGGCAAAGAAACTCACTGTAGGAATGAGGGCTCACAGAAATGAGAAGTGTTAGAAGGTTAAAAAACAAAAACAAACAAACAAAACCTAGGTCGAACTGAGGTCCTAATTGGATAGTTCTTGAAGCTCTGTGGGAGACTGCTTCAGTTCTTCAGGAACATGGGAAAATGTTCCATCAACCCTGCTGAGTGCCAGGAAATCAGAAGAGCTCTGGAGTGTGTGCTCTCCCAAGGACAACCTGAGTGTGTGTGCTGTGACCACTAGGACCTCCCAAGGACAGCCTGAGTGTGTGTACTGTGACCACGACTTTCCAAGGACAACCGTCTTCCTTCGCATTTCCTCTCCAACACTTAGACAAGTTCTAATTCCAAAACCAAACTCAAACCATGTAAGATAGCAGCAGGGTGTGGTCAAGAGAGTTCGTTCCAAGGCAGGCTGGATGGTGAGGGGATGCAGACTGTAGGCAGGGTCCTATTCCAAACCCCTGACATTTCCAGGGTTCTGGAACCCTACACCTTCCCATTATCGGCTAAACTCTTCACTCCGGCTCACAGATGCCAAGTACTGTCTGGTGTCCCGGGTTGTTCTGGAGAAGGTTGGAGAGACCTGGTTAGCTAAGGTGGCACAATCGGAAGCTTAAGGACCCTTTCTACGGCTAAGGGTCTCCTCTCTCCTCTGTACAGCAAACCTTCCTGTGGGATTGACTT